GCCAGAAAAAAAGTTAATAGGAGGTGCTGCTAGCCAGTTGCATTCCCTCCAGTCAGCAGTTCAAGAATAAGAAAATAATTAAGAAAAATTGGTGGTTGGGTCCAGCCAGACAATTTCCTTCCTTCTATTCAAAAGTGTAAAATTAGTGACAGTTGCAGATAGCCTTAGTATCTATTCCTTCTTGAATCAATCATAATTTTGATTAATCAATTAATTTACCTGACACTAATCGTTATAATCACTGTTCATTATGGTGCATCAGATATATAACAATTACAAAAAGTTGGTCAAAGGTATGCTCCCTGTACTTTTTCCCATTCTACTTTCAGCCTAAGTGAAGATGCCAAAGTCTTGCCACTAGTGCCAAAGATTTTTAAATGTCAAAAGTCTATTAAAATTGTTAATTTGGTAATTACTACCATTTTTATTTTAATTAAAAGTCTATAAGAAGTTGCTTTCCTTTTAATTGGATTTTAAAGTTTTAAATTCAGATGTTTTAATCCTTTCACTATGGGCTCAATCCCAGGGACTGACCTCGTAACCATTTTGTACTTGTTATAGTTTTCATACTATAACTTTTAATACAGTATGCATATCTTAACAAAATTTGGCATATTATCATTAAACATAACAAGGCTTTTGTACACAAAAATATCAGATTCTTTAATTATGTTTTAAGATTTTTTCAATTATCGATTTACTTGTGAACTTTTTATTTTTGAATGGTAACTATCCCACATGCGAAGTAATTTTAAGATTAAAAATGCCTTTATGCGTCAGAAAATTGTCAAATTTCATTTGCAAAATCCCCATAACCTCCTAATAAAATCCAGATAGATATCAAACTTTTCTTTAAAGAAAAATATTATATTTTATCTGTCATTTTCTCTATCTTATCTCTGTATGAATTTGGTTAAATTGACTGACCTTGTAACTACCATAGAAAATTAGGAAATGATTAAGCTATGCTTGTTTCATTCTAGAATGGCTACAAATTGTGACATGAAAACACAAATGTTTATTCTAAATAGCTTAAATCTCATAACATTATACATCTATTTATATTTATTATTTTTATTTTATTGACCTTTCAGCCATGCCTGACTAACATTACAGAAGTTGCAATCATGGTGCATGTGCATCCCATTTTACCATATCTAGTAGCATAATACTGGCATTTACAAAATGATCTGTCTTGGCTTTGTTCTAGTGGACCAGTATTTTGTAAAATACAGTCACGTTTCAGTTATAATACATTACATATGTATATATACTATTACTATTTACAAATATATTTTTAAATTTCTTAAAGCATAGAACAGTAAATAAAGAAATATATAAAACAATGATCTCTACTACTTACAATTGTAAAGAAGTTTGTATTCACTTGGTGTACATTGCATGCTAAGCTTTTTCGAGTTTTTCATGTGGAGGATGTAAAACAAAATAACTTATTTAGGGTTTATATATGAGTTTTGAAATAATAAAGAGTTATAGATTACTCTACCAATATTGCACAATTCCAATGTAATTTTTCAGGTTTACTAACTAAGCTTTATTTTGTTCTACAAAAATATTGTATTTCAAACAACATTTTCTCTTACCCCTTCCTTTCGAGGTTGGGAACAAAAAGATTAATCTTGGGAAATACTCACCTTGTATAGGCTGAGAAATTCATGTGGGGGAAATTCAGAACTTTCATTTGGTTATAAATACATGATAGAGGTAAGAGGGTGTACATAAGCAAGCATTTACAAAAATGAAAGAGGTGGATGGGACCACTGTGTTTGATTTGCTAAATAGAAAAGATAGGAGGTTCTTATTTTATATTCTAGTCTGTAAATATCAGTGATTTTTGTTTCTAATATGGAAGAAACTATAGACTTTGTATTTGAACATCGCAAACATCTAATTTGAATCTCAGAATTCAGTATTTAGGAATTTTGTTTCAATATTTACTTTTAAATTAACTAATGTATAATCCTAAAATTTAAATAAAATCTACAATTTGATACCAAACTTATTGATATACATTCATAAAATAGTTGTTCAATAAAATTTTGAATGTAAGTCTACAAACTTGATGCCATGCCCTTTGACCCTTGACCATAGGAAAATCTGTAGGGATAGGGTTAATGTAATATTTAAATTCTGAACATATAATTTGAAACACAATCATAATATTCATTGAATCTTGTTTATTCAGATTGTTTGATGAACAATGGATTGACCTATTTTGAGGAAAGATCAGGATATATGGTTAGTGGGAAAACCTATACCTGAACTCTCAGCTTCCAGAATTCAAACAAAGAGAGTTGTTCTATGAATGTTCTTCTATTTAAAATATAAACCAATGCAGCATGAAAAGCACATCAACTTTAATGGTGCAGTTGCAGACAGTCATACTTGAAATTCAAAACCAATGGGACAAAGCAGGAAAAGTCAAAACTAAGATTTTGAATCTTTATGATAGTTACAAGACACTTCAAAAGAGAAAAGGGTGTAAATCAAATGAAGCAAAGGAAAAATTGTTTGTTGAAGAGCTACAAAACTACTCTTTCCTTTCATACCAAGATGTTTAGAAAAAAAATGGAAACTGACCAGTTCTGAAATTAGGAACAGAAAAAAGATGTTTAATTTCTGAAAGCTTTACAAAATCAAAGGTGTCTTTTAGGATCAGAAGACAAAGCATACAGTAAGAAAAAAAAGAAAATAACGAGAGAGAATTCTTATTTCATGAGAAAAAGTCTGAAGAATAAAGAAAGCATAGTTTTGCAGCAACTTTCAGTATGAATCCAGAATATCCCAACCCCTAGCCAGTAAGTTCCACAGACAGTCCAGATACACAGTTTATAAATGAAGATTTTTAATATCCATCTTAATCTAGTGCTAGGCCTAAGAATCCTACATCCATGAGAAAGGGAACCATTACTTTGGAGCCTCCAAGCAATCTATTCATGTCAAAAAAATTCAACAATGGCAGATTGTTTTATATTTTATCTGCAGGTCAAAGAACAGCATTCATGGCTGCAGTCATTTCAGAAGGTGGGATAATGTGACTCTTTCTAAATCAAGTACAAGGAGTGCAGCAAAAAAAAAAAATTGAATGGAGAGTGTTATTACTATGAAAACCTCTTTATTCCACCGAAGTATGCAACATTACACTGAGACAGAAAAATTGTTCCAGGAGATGAGGAGAAGTTAGGAGTTCTTATAGTAGGAATGCCAAACCACAAAAAGTAAAAATTGTTTGGTGCTCCAGCGATTCCAGATGGAAATGGTACAACCCAGACTAACACAAGCCATGCTCTCGCACCCTAGTTGAAAGTAGAATATTCTGTTGTTGGACTTGCTTTTGATATTACTGCTTCATACTCTGGTGCATGTATGTAGTTCAAAGCTTTGCTTAACAAGAAAGTTTTTTATTTTGCTTGCTGTCATTACATCATGGAAAGAATTTTGTGTGTAGTTTGGCAGGAATTGTTTGGTGCAATAACTGATATGGACAACCATGAGCTTAAGAAGTCTTGGAGAACTATTGAGGAACATTTAACTTTTAAGACACTGCGTTTCTCTGATCATCGACTTAAATGTCAGCGGTAAATTATCATCAGCTTTCTGCGAGGAAGATTGATTTTAAAATCAATCTTCCTTGCAGAAAGCTGATGATAATTTACCGCTGACATTTAAGTCGATGATCAGAGAAACACAGTGTCTTAAAAGTTAAATGTTCCTCAATACTTCCCCGAGCAGCTTCAGATTTTAAAGCTGCTTCGAATTATTCAGAATGTGCCGAGCTGATGTTGATTTTCCCAGGAGGACTGCACTGGCTACAGCCTGGTGTATATCATCATGCCTGTTGGATGGTAACTGTGATTTACAGTGCTAAGATGAATGCATTTGAATTATGATCAAGCCAAAATGGACAAGTTACATTTATCCAACACTTTCAGAAGCAGTCATTACTATGCTCAACAGCCATCTCTGGTTTTGCGCTCTTCTCCAACTTCATGTCAGAATCTGAGAAGAAACAAATTGATCATTATGAAGGACAAAAAAATACACTGGAAAAAAGGAACACCACTTTTTCCACAGTCAGCTTCATTGACAAATTTGGAGTCTTTGATTGGCAGAAAATCATGGCTCCTATTCAACCTTTTTGTTATTGACATTGACTGGTTACATTTGCTACCAACACAACTATGATATTTCCAGGAAGCTGCCAAGGTTGTTCACCATGCCAAAGTGGTAAATGATCTTTCTGAAAGAGCAGTCAAACTTATCACAGACTTTGCAAACACCAGAATGAATGATGAAGAGCAAAGGTAATTCATGCTGCAAGTAGTCAAAAAACACTATCGCAATGCCCCAGATTTCAAAAAGAAAACTAAAAAATACCTGAATTGTTGTTTTCTGTGACTGTCTGATTGTCAGAACCATTCTGTTGTGTGACTTTTATGTTATTATTGAACTTAATGAATAAATTGAATATGATTTTTCTTGATGCATTAGTATTTAACTATGTTTATAGTAAATAGTAAACCATTTCAAATTATCCATTTTCTTGTGACAAGGCTTTAAATGATTTTTCAGACCTCAAACATTACACTGGTCACTTGTAATGATCAGTATAATGTGCAAAAGCCCAGGGATCATGTATCTTTTAACTTTGAAATTTTCAGAGCACTCTACCATATGTAATAGGTTATATTGATTAACTTGCCCAGCTCTGATGTAAATTTGCTTTTATTGAAATAATTTTTTTTTCGGAAATGTATAGTTATGTTTGTATTGTGGGCATTAGTCAACTGTTTCATGAGGATATGTATAAATATTTTTCTGTAGGCCTGCTGATTTAGACAAAATAACAAAATGCTGTCAAAATGCCAATATTTTATTTGTTAAAGTAGAGAATTACAAGTTACTAGAAAAAATAGAACGCAGAATTGTATTTCATTATAAATATTTTTATATGATAATGTGTCTTATTCTATTAAAAGGATGATGAAGATGGAGATGTTTCTAAATATGACCTGACTGGGTGGGGTGATGAGGATGAGAATGAAATGCCAACAAAAGTCAACAGTGTCAAAAATAATCACAGAAAAAGTCGATCTAATTCCAGATCATCCTCTCATTCTTCTGCATCTTCACCTTCAAGGTCTAGCCATTCTTCTCAATCTCGCTCATGGTCAGTTAGCAGTTCTTCTTCCCACTCCAAATCAAGTTCAGCCTCACCTAGAGGGAAAAAACGGAAGAGATCTCGATCTAGGTCAAGGTAACAGGGTGGGGTGGTATGGTAAAAGGTCAAAGGTCATTATCACTTTTCATCTTTGTATGGTAACTTACAATGCAAACTTAAGTTGATTTTGTGATCTGAGGCTGTGACATGTTATTGATGCATCTCAAAATTGTCCTTGTATAAATTTTGAAGGGTTTCTTGTTTGTTTAGAAATTATTCCATAACACTATATTTTTGAATTACTGTGGGTGTGCTGCCACCACATTTAACAGTGGCAAAGAAATTATGGTTAAGATAAAGAGCCAAATCTTACTATAAACAACCATGAATTATTTTCTAGTATAATTTAGAAATACCCTGAAACTTTTACAATAAAACTGTCTATATATCTTTAATGCAGAGGTGGAATCATGCAGTCCTTAAGAGTTGTTTTCATACTTGATGAATGTTTTGAAGTGATTAGAATCATAGTTGAATTGGTGTTTGATGCATAAAAAAACAACAACACAATTACCATATTATAAATAAAGATCTAATTACAATAAATTTGGTGAATTAGCTAAATACTAACCTTGCTCTAGATTTGTTTTATTTAGCATTCAAAAATCAATCTTAGGTTTTTGGGGACTGAAAAATCTTTGTTTATTTAAATGTTTAAAGTAAGGTAGTTTTAAGTAAAGTCAGGGGTTCTATCCCCTTGTTCAGGCTCAGTAATTCGTGATTATTTATATATAGAAGCTCATGGCTGCATTAAATATCAATGTGTTCAGAATTGGCCATGGAACAGCAGGAAGATCTCTTTTTAAGGTATAACGTATCTACAAGTTAGCCGTAGTTTGTGCAGTATTATAAGAATAACTTTAGTTTGTGGGATTAAATTATACTCCACACAGTATGGTAAAATATTATGAGAATGATTTTGGTTTATAGTTTGTGTGATTAAACTATACTCCACACAGTACTGTGCAGTATTATAAGAGTGACTTTGGTTTATGGTTTGTGTGATTAAACTGTACTCCACACAGTATGGTACAGTATTATAAGCTAGGTACCTTTTAAATGCAAATAGACAATTTTTATAATCTTATAGTACACTTATCTACTGAGCATTTGTAACTTTTACTTAGATCATAGTGCTTACAGTTGTGGATATGTATATATAATGTTCTTCTTTATTAGCCAAATGTAAACATAGCTCTATTAGAGCATTGTACTGTACTCAAACTGCAATCATAAAGTATATCTTTAAATTATTTCAATGTTTATTAAAGAACTTAATGTAAGGTGTGGCCTTGTATTAGTCGTACTGTGAATGTAATGGTCCATGGTTCACATCCTGTTGCTACATAACAAATGCTCCTCACTTTAGGGTTATTGGTGTATCATAGTCAAATCCCATTATTCAATTGGAGTAACCCAAAAGTGAGTGCTGTTGGCTAGAGCTACTTTCTAAATTAGGGATGGCCAGCACAAACAACACTTGTGCAGCTTTGTACTAATATCTGAAATACTTAATGCACACTTTCATACCAAGCAATGTCAAACCAAATTTTTTATCCTGTTAAAATGTTCTTTCAGATTCCAAAAATAATTTTGTACTCTCTCTTTATAGTTTATATAGGAAGAGTTATGTTTGTCAAAGTTTTATAATGCTTTTTGTACTTGGTTTTGATCATTTCTTGAAACATATTTGGGATTTTTTTTTAAATATTCAGAATTCATAGTTTTCTAGATTCTATTACATTCACCCCAAATTATTAACCTACAAAGATTTAAAGACAGTTAGTGGTTGTGTTTGAAATTTATTTCCCTTTGAATGTAAACAGCAATTAACATGTATTTTCAAGTTTGACATTGCTGACTTTAACATACTGATTTGTGATCTTTACTGATTAAAGACTATATTGTCAAAGAATATGTATTTACCTACATGTATGATTATTGCACAGCTTAAAAGAAGTTTTGCATTAACTGGTATTTACCAGTAATAGCCTGTTACTATATATTATTGTTTGTTTTTCTGCAAAATAGTTGGAAAAAATTAAAGTATTGATTTTTATGAAGGCTTGAGAAAAAGTTTGATCTAAAATGTTTGACATATTTTTATTTAAAAATTGAATAATATTAAGTGAATGTTGCATAATTTCTAATCAAGGTAGGAAAGAAGAAAGCTTTGTTTTTAAAAATAGATATAAATATAGTATGAGAATGATATAGTAATGCGTGTATAAAAAAGTAATTGGGTTAAAATATATAGAAATATGAAATTGCTGATATTAGAAATACCTTCATTATATGGGTGAGATGCCAGCAAATTTGGATATGTAATGACAAAGCAGGTAACTGTATTCTGAAGTTTAGTTTTGTTTTAACTCCACTATTGAAGATAATTCTTACGAGTCACATAAAGTGTTGTTACTGCTATATATATTGTACCTAGAATTTGGAAATAACAGTCTTCAGAGGTAGTGTTACATTGTAGTAGATCAGATTTAATAGTGTAACATTTTTAAATAGAAAATACAAATTAGAGATTCACTTAGAAATTATCTTGATTAGTATTAGGTAGTGATAGCAGTTCAAGAAATGTTGCTACAGCAGTTACAATGTTTGTTATGCATGTACAGCTTTAAAAGACTGGATCATAATATTTAAACAAGAAGGATTAAATTTGTCACATAATAGGTATGTATAGCCAGAATTTGCCATTCAAAGTAAAATATATTTTTTTCTTTTATATTTAAGGTCAGACTCTCCAAGATCCAGAAGGAAAGAAAGACAACATGATTCACACTCCTCTAGCCATTCTCCTTCTAGCTCACACTCTGGATCTTGTGAAAGGGACAGGTTTGAGGGGAATTTTGTATTATGTATCTTATGTTTACAGTTGTGCATTCTGTTTTTGCTTATGATAAAAAACAAGTATTTTTTTTTGTGGAAAAGTGAAAATTATAATTTATAATTAGCCAACTCCTAAAAATAATTTCATTTGCATCTCTAATTAAAGATGTGGATATTGTTTTGTGCAGGATAGCCACCAAACTATGTAACAATAGAGTATTAACTTAGAAGCTTTGAAAAAAAAAAAAAAAAACTACTTGGTTGTATCTTAAAAATTGTAGAACTTTTTTTTATTTATCTTCAAACTGATTCTAATAAGAATTTGCTAAACCCTCTCGATACAGGTAGGTTAAAGTATATGTCATGACTTTTTAGAGAGTTATGTAAAAAATTTAATTAAATTATTATCATTGTACACGAGTAAACTTGGCATCAAAACATAGCTAATAAATCAAATAATATAAGTTTTAAATTCTTGATTTTATAAAGAAATATTTTTAAAAATCCTCAGTCTTGCCTAATATGAGAATTGTGGCTTTTGTTCTCTAGGTCTTCCCTCTTCAACAATTTATTTATCATCCCTCTGACAAGTACAGAATTTAAAGTATTTATTGTAACATAGATATTATTCTGGCCAATCATAATTATTATGGCTTTCAATCTTCTTTGTTTATGGAGCCATAAACAAGAAGTTCAGACCCACTTGCCATGCCCACTTGTCACATGCTCTCTTTTACAAATTGCCAAGTTTTCTCTGATATTTTATACTATATTATTTATAACCAATAGAAAGCCAAAAATTTTAATTGATCAAATGACATATTTGTTCTGTTGTTTCTTATACAGAGTATTGTCCATTTCACCTCCAGTTTGAAATCTCTCTCGGGGTACATTTACATTGACAAGTTTAGCTAAATTTTTAAAGGCTTTTATTGCATAGTTAGAAAGCCAGGTAAATTATGATGGTTATAGAACATTGTTTGTTTTGTGCATGTTATTATTCAGCGTTCTTAGGTGCATTATTTAATTAAATAAAAATGTTGTATACTAATACCATTAGTATGAAAAAAGTAGGCTTAACTTTCATTGACAGCAAAAAAACGAGGACATAGGTAAGTATCATATCTCTTGTTTTTCATGTGTATTCTTTGTTTATTATTATAAAAGTAACTAAAATGTAGAAATTGGAAACTTATTAGATAGGATAATGAAATATAATAATTTTTAATGAGATATGTTTGCGAACAGCCTGTGCATTACGTAATACAATACAGTAACTTGAGTTACACATTCTCCTGTGGTGGGATTTTAGTCATACACAAATCAAAGGACTGTAAAACAATAAAATTAAGTTTAAACAGATGTCTACTGTTATGAGCTTTAAGTTATTTAGGATAAACAGTTGTAGTTTCCTATTACAATTTGCAGTCATTCTAGAAAGAAAGAAGGATAATTTAAACATTTCGTATTATTTTATGGTGTTTAAGAGATTGTTCAAATCGACTGTATGTGTATAGAGTTAGGGTACAGAAAATAACAAATAAAATGTAACGTTTTACTGATAAAAAAAGGTCAATATTTATTTAGGAGGTTTTAGAGATTACATGAATGAAATTTGACAATTTTCAGATGAAGAAAGGTATTTTTAAACTTAACATGAAAATCACTTTGCACTCAGAGCAAATAACACTATGACTTCTTATATGCATGGACAAATTTTTTGTGTACAAAGGAATTGTAATGTTTGCTGAAAGCTTGCCAGATTTTATGAAGATACACAAAACATATCAAAAATTATTGTATAGAAACTCTGATGGTCACTTTGTGGTCACAAGGTCAGTGTAATTGACCAAGCCCATAACAAGAGGGTTAATAAAGTTACAAAATTCACTTAGTGTGCTGTTTTTAGAGAAACAGGATTGATCCCTTTCTTAACACTGAACAATTACTGTAGTACAGCTTTATCTCTGAAATGGGTTTAGAAACATTTCTATTGTGTTTTGTCATGATTTTTCTATGCTGTCTTGTAAAGTTTTATAATTTTCACATAAGATTCAAATATTTATAGGCTACTAATGATATATGTTGTTTAAAGTTAATTCCCAATGCAGAAAAACATTCATGTTAAAATTTTATTACTTGGATAAAAAAATACTTTTAGAAAAGTCAAATAAGCTTAAGTTTAACACACTCATGTGATTGTATTGTTGTTGTACGTTTCTTTCTTCCAACTAGTAACTTTCAAAGACAATTTTTTTTAAAACTTTGTTAAACATGAATATTCTGATGTGATCTCACCAAATACTACAGTAACACACACGTTCATATTTTCAGATACTGATATAGACTTAATGTGAGTGAGTGATAGAATGTATGTATATTAAAACATCAAATCAAGGTTTGCTCTTCCATGTTATTTTTTCATTAACTCACAAGTTTTCTCAAACAATTTTATCAACCAGCTTTAGTTGACTCTGTCTTCAGACTATTTAACAACCAATTAAAAACGTTCAAATTATAAAAGGAAATAAAATTCATCACTGTTCATAGTACTGCTGAAACAATAATAATTATCACTTGATTCATGTGACATTTGATTTATTCTATTAAATGTTCATAAATAATTTACTGTCAATTATTCCATTGATTGAAATACTTAAAGATAGTTCCTGAAGTAATGACTGAAAGCCTGTGAATTGAATTGAAACTAGTATGGAAGAGAAAACCTAACTTTATTGTCTTAATATATGCATTGTTTTTATTTTTATTTATTGAATATATATATATATATATATATATGATAGTCATTAATGTTCAAGTGCAAGTGAAATTAAATATACATTAATCACCTGATTGCAAACATGCCTTTTGAAACCATAATAAAATATTTTTGATTTTTCAACACATCAACTTTTGTAATATTTTCATCAGTTCAGTAGTACTTCAAAATTAAAAAAATCGTTACATAATAATATGGTTTAGAAATATTTCTGAATGAAGTTAACAAAACCACATATACTGTATGAAGTTGCAGTTGTTCAATGACTGTTATACCATTTATTATTATCTAGCCAAACCAGGAAACAATTAGTATCGTACTATTCCTTTCATACTTGGATACACTGAACTAAAATTTCCCCTAGTGGGTCAGTGGTCAGTGTACAGACTTACAATGCTAAAATCTAGGTTCAGTAACCTGTGGTGATCATAACAATTATAGCCCATTGTATGGCTTTGTGCCAAAGCAGAATTCATATATTTTCTCATTTTTAATTTCTACTAATTATTAACACATATTCCTGGAAGCCAAAGATGGTCATTTATAGTTGGGATTAAATGTATAATGCACTGACACATTGTGTTCCTTGTGTTGCATTTTACAAGTCTCATCTAATTAAAATAATTGACAAGATGTTTTTTTGTCTGAAGTAAATAAGTTTGAGTACAACACAATTGATTTTTTGACAAGGCTCTAATGTGTCAATAATTCTGAGGGTATATTTTAATATCTCAACCCTCATATTAGAGAAGTTTGTATACCTTATTGAGTACGAGGTGCAACATAATCCTTCATATTCCATAAAATAAAATCTTTCATAAGATGTTAAGTTTTAAGAAACTTGTCATTTCTGATTTTTAGAAAGTATAATTCATCTGCATTTGTTGAATAAGTGTTCTACTTTTCATTTTCAGAGAACACTCAAGATCACCCAGGCAAAAGAAGTGAGTTAAACAGCACTTTGGTGTGGAAATATGCAATCTAACAGTTTTATGTGGTTTAAAATTATTAATTTTTTCCTTATTTCCTTTGGTTATGTGAATCCATTTCTGCATACAGTAGAAAAGAAATAAAATGATTATGCAGAATAAAGAATCATATACATAAATTGTTTAGCAAGTTATTGCTTACAGCATCTTGACAAGTAAATACATATTCACGTTACATGTGACATGCTAGAATAACCACATTTGATATACACAATTCATTTGATGGGTAATCTACTCAAAGAAGTGTGAGTTATGTTTTAAAACATTAACAGTTTACAATATTAATTAAGCATTTTCAGTCCATAAAGTTTGGCATTTGAGTTACTGTAATGTCTGTTATTAGAAGCAAACTGAAGAATTCACATAGTTAAGAAGTATTTATATCTGTTTTGGCTGCTTCACAGGCTTCATATATTTGATACCTATTGCTGAAATCTCCTAGCAGTCATAAGATATTGAAGAGACAAACTTTGAGAATAAACTATTGTTATGCTTCTTAGAAAATATAGAGTTGAATCTTATGACTTGTATGAAAAATATTTCAAAAGAAAGATGTACAAGTAATTCAAAACATGCTATAGCATTGTTATAGTTTAGGAAACTATTGCATGTTTTTCTTTTATAAAAGTTACCCTTTGAAAACAAAAAAATGCATATCATTCACATATTGACTCATAACCTGAAATACTTGGATACACCATAGTTTTACTTTTTAACATTACCTTGGAAAAATTGATTTTAATTATTCCTCCAGTGCATCTTTTGCTGTACTGGAAACAAAATTTTTCTTTTTGTGAGAGAAAAAACTAGGCATTGAATTATAAAGTAATTCTGTTAAAGACACAATAGAAGGGAAGTAATGAGCCAAGGTATAATATGTTTAGGACTGTGACTTTGAGTTCTCTGCATAGAATACTATTTTGTAAGTAAATTGTGTTTTGTTTTTAGATAAAACTGTATTTTCCCTAGATAACTTTCAAAAAAGCATTAGAAAATTGTGTGAATATTAGATTTGAACATAGGAGATTATTATAAAAATCAGGAGGCCAGAAGTTGACTAGAAACTATTGCTTGCTAGCTAACATTTCAAGTTCATTTACATATTTTTTCCACAAGCTGCACTCAATTTTAAAAATGTTTAAAAATTAAGAATAAGTGTTTGTGTGATAATCTTTTTAATTGATAGTGTAATTCTTAGTTTTTTTATTATTAAACCATGACAATATAGCACTATACTTAGCAAAAACTGAATTGGTAACTTGTGGTTAATTAGTTCATCCGAATCATGTGAAGTCAAATACCACATAAATAATCTGTGTAGGGAAAGCCTTTTAAGATTAGCAGAAGTGTTCAGTTCTACAAACATGCTTTGTGCACATTTTATTTGACTCCTGTAACATACAGTGCTTGTATTTTCTTTTTGTATACATAATGACTGCTTTAAAAATATACAAAAATGTTGTTAGGTTTGGTACTGAAAATTTTGATCAACTGATTATTATGCCATTACTGTAAAGTTAATTAGAGCTCCACAGAATAAATCATTTGATATGCTTTCTTCTGTATTGTATCCCAAGATTTATAATAAGTGTTTCATGTATAAAACTATATATTGAATATTTTTTTACTTTTAGAATGACTTTTAGCACTAAATTTCTAAGAATAATTGGGAACTTAATTCTTATAGCAATTTAAAGTACTGGTACTTTTTGAAAGTACAAATTCTGTGTTTTTCTATGAATAAAATTATGTAAACTGCAAATTAATTTTATGACACTTTCTTTAAAAATCTGTTATCATGATGTGATGCCAGTCTGTAAAAACCCTTTCAATTGGTACTTTAAGTAAAGAGACCTAAAATGCAACCACATTAGAATAGATTTTATAAATATAGAACAAAGTGCTATGTCATTAGGTTATCAGTTTCTTAAGTATAGAATTGTGGTATCATTATTTTTCAAAATTCAGTTATTCTTTAGTAATGTTTTTTTTTAGCTTTATACATAAGATATCCATCATTCTAGTATAATAGCTTTTTAATTCTGCATTTAAGGATTTCTCCTTGTATAAGAGACTTAATCTTATTAAAGAATTGTTATTCTCCTTATATTGGCATTTCAATTTTGTATTGAGAAATCCATCATTCTAATATAGTGGAACTTATTCTATGCTTAAAAAATCAGGTTTTTATGTTAGTTACCTTTTGATTCTGTATTTAAAAAATTTACCTTTTCATATAGGGGATTTTTATTCTATTTCTTCATTCTTCTATCTAGTTATTTAACAAAAACTTAGATTACTTCCCAAAACTTTTGTTTTATGAAATAATAGTTTAACTATAAAGTTTAAAACTTAACATATTGGATCCTATGGTTTAAACTTTCCTTTTAAGATATATTTCTGTTTTCCTTTTGTTTTCTGTAAGTATATTTGTGTTGAGTTTTTTTTTTTAAATAATTTTATGTTGATTGCTAGAATGCTTATTGTAAAAAAAGTGTAATACCTAATAAAAAAATATTTATACATACACAAAAACTAAAGCTAGTACAATTTAGAGAAATAATCAATACATATTGATTATTTAAGGTCAAAATTGAACTTGAAATGCTGAAAATGACTATCTTATTGTTTTCATGTAACTGTGAGTGTAAAAATATGTACTTTGTATTTCTATGCTTTTAGCTTATAAGAATTTTTTTTGTTTTTTTTGAAAAACTAATGAATCTGTATTAGAACAATTATTGCTCAGAAAACCACTGTGTTGTGAAATACTGGCATATGCAAAAGTTGGTGTTATAAATTTGCATATAGCCATTAGTAACATGGTGACAAGAAAAAGTACCCAAATGCTAAACAGTAAATTGAAAGACTAAATATTAATTTTACTTAACTATGTGATGGTAAAAGGGATGAAAAAATATTGGTTTTATTAATTTAACAAAATTCTTTTAATCCAGTTCTGATAAATTTATCTGTCCATGAAGAAAATATGTCAAACATTATCTAGGTTTGACTGAATTGAAGAATATAAGGACCCCCCCCCCCCCCAACTTCCAACACTAAAATTTGGGATTCAATTCTCTCTGGTGAACAGAGAGAGATAGATAGCTTGTTTTGTAGATTTGCACTAATTAGGCAAAAAAATTCAAAGAGAAAATGTGTATAAAGTCAATGAAACATATTTTCAAAACGGCCTTTTTTTTTGTACAATTCATCAACTTAGTAACTTATGCTACTTTAAAATAAATTTGCATACAATACACATGCATTTAATTGTATCATAAAACAGACTGAGTGTGGCCAAGTGGTTAGCATGCTCGACTGTGAACCCAAGGATCTGTGTATGGTTCACATCCTGTTGCCATATGTTCCTGCTCTACAGTTTGGTCCACAATGAACTATAAGAGTAACAGTTACATCCTTCTATTTGAGCAGAGTAGCCTGAAAGTTGGCAGTGGGTGCTGTTGACTAATTGCCTTCATTCTAGTTTATCAGTTCAAAATTAGAGATGGCTAGTGCAGATTGGCCTTAGGCAACTTTGCACGAATATCTTAAACATACAATTAATATGTTTTCATGTTAAACAACATAAAATCAAATCTGTATACTACAAACATATCAGATTTCCAAGTTAATTTTTTTTGTTTCTGTAGTTTTAGTTTTAATAGGAAAAGCTGTATTTATATCTCTTGTGTCACTTTGTGCAAACATTCAAAACAAAAACAGTTACTATATCTTTTAATCAGTGATTTTCACTTCAGCTAGATATTTATGTTCATTATTGTGAATCTTGAACTGTATAAAAATTTGTTGTTATTCTGAATGTTATCTAAACATGTCTTGAAATATATATATATATATATATATATATATATATATATA